AACTGCCGCCGTCACTATCGATCAGATAATTAGTCACCGAAGTGAGACTATGCCCTTCAATGACGACTAATATTCCTTATCATAACCGACAGGACAGCGGACCCGCGGTTCAGTGTGGGAGCGTTGAACATGAAGGCCCAATCACCAAAGATCTCGGGTTCGAATCCCAATTACCCGGACCTGGGCTTGGACATGGCTCTCTGACGACGACTAATAAGTCCGAAATGGCTGACCCAGTCAGAATTGCATTTATGCACACAGTAAGAAGACAACATCGATCCGACACAGTCTTTTACAGGCAACTGCGCGGCGATCTCATTCAAACCTACAGGATTGTCAGAAGCCGAGAGTATGCCCTAGATTTTGATGAATTCTTTGAATTGGCCCGGACTGACAGTCTGCGTGGTCATCCGTTCAAACTGCAAAGGAAGCGGGCTCACTCGGACGTCCGACGGAACGCCTTCTCACACAGGGTCATCGGGGCATGGAATGGACTCCCTGATGCCGTCGTTCTTTCCGAAAGTGTTAAATCCTTTAAGTGCAGACTAGACGCTCACTTGTTGAGAACCTACTGTACATACAATCATGATTGTTTTAGCGGCGACAATTTGCGCCTGGCTCACACTTACCGCTAACTTCTTAACTTTACGCATTTGCTGATGTAATTGATGACTTTATTTCTGTTTATCGACATGAATAGGGTGCTCAAGGGCGAAAGCCTCATTCCCTTAATAAACTGACTTAAACTGACTTAATTGAGGGACTTTCTTGTCGTTTTACGAGCTGAATTGCGATGGGAGCATGTAAGTCAATCCTAGGTCCGATTTAAGTCGGCATCCTTTGGCACAGGCTGTCTGTTACCTTCCTACTGGCTACTGTATTTATATAAATCCTGACTCGATGAAAGTCCTCTCATGGTGTTACTACCTTTGGATAATGTTGGAGCAAAGGCCATCACACAGCGTTCATCTGGTTAAATGGACCGTGTCGCAACTGTATATACTCTCCTTAGCTACAGCAGGGCTTTTCCAACCTAATCAACCTTTCTGGCCTAGGATTCGGAAGCTTCGTGTTTGTCGACGCACGGCACATCGAAAAGCTCACCGTTTCTTGAAAATTTATCCTCTTGCTTTTCCGGGCCCACACCAGTGAACTGTGGAATGTTAAAACAACGAGCAAATTGACCCCCTCATAATATACGGATTTTCGGCAATCCCAATTGCTGCCTGGCCCGTTCTTACCAATGCAAAATTGGTATTGAGATGGTTGTTCCTCTGTCAGTTTCAGGCGCTGGGTGGGGACGCATGAACAGAGCCTAGATAAATGCTCGCCGAGTTTGGGTGCATAGGATAAGGGAATTTGTTGGAAACCTTCGTGTCTTAAATCAGTATACTAAGTGTCATCATTTAAGTTAGGTGACCCTGGTTAAGAGTTGCCGAAGACCCGTGTTTATCCAACTATCACATGCAACACGGAATTAGACGTTTAGGCATTTAAATTTGTTTAAAACGTACGCGGGGCTTTGTTGGAATCGCAGTGATGATCGGCGTGTATCCGCGTATCCAGGCTGCCAATACACCCTAGCACGCTGACTATTCATCGGAGATGTGTTCAGCTTACTACAATATTTAAGTAGCATGCAGTTCTTCATTTTACCCTGCTCGTGAAGAGGGTAAGTGAGGGTTTCCTGCTCATCAGATAGTCTCTTTTTTGGCTGACAATATGGCTGGAAAGATGGGTTCGCCTCCTTACGAAACCACTGTTTATTTAAAACGTGTGCTTTTATTTTCGTTTTTGACCATTTTGAGAAAACTCCGGCAACCGGACTAACTTTGATTCTATCCCGCTTCCTTTACGGGCCTAATTGTGACTAACTGAGCGGTGTGCACAGGCTCAGTTTCAAATTTGTAACAAATTTGAAACTGATTTGGTGGTCAAGGCCTTTTTGCCTAAACACTACATTTTCGCGGCTACTTCCAAGCCACAGCTTTTAGCGCGTTAGATTTCTTGTAGCGGGGACGGCGCTGGCTTGCCACAGGGGGGGGGGGGGCTGGATTCCCCAAGGCCGGCCTCACTCTCACTCGCCCCCCTCCCATGCGCCAGTTTACTGGAATAGCCGACCAAGCAGCTGGTGGGGGGACTTGGCAAAGTGTCTGGCATGGCTACGATGGTCCGTCAGCGTGGACCACACACACACGACCTGGTCGCTTCCTCGACCAGGCTACATCGCTGAGCCTGCCACCCACCTACGTGACATGTGCATGTTCTCACATGTAACATTGCGCCGGCCACGATGGGGACGGCCAGTCTGATCACATGCTTTCGACTTTATCGAAGACTTCTATGAAGGCGCAGATAGGCCCCTGCGATGGTGCAATGTCCTTGGGCAGGTGTATACTGGGACTCCTCGACATTGGTACCCCAATCTCAGTGCGATGGGGATTCGCTAGAGCCCGACTAGGCCGATGCGTGATGCGGATTTGCTGCAACTATAAGGAAGGGGTGGGATTGTTGCTAGTGAACTGGCGGTGTGGAGACCCTGTCAGTGACGAGTCTGGCGACGGCAGATTTGCTAGAGCCGGTGTTAGGTGGTCCAGTGAGTGACCGGTCTCATGAAATGATGGCTCAAATTCTGAAATGCGTTTTCGATTAGAAAGGGTAACTTAGGCGCGGTTGTAATACTGCTAGCAACAGCAGAAGCGACTCCCACCGGGTTGGAGAAGCCGACCTTGTACGCTCAAAAGAACCTGGTACAGTCTCAACGCCTACCGTGGTCAAAGCTCGGTTAAATGCAGTGAGTGATCGATCTGATGAAATGCTGGCTGAAATTCTGAAATGCCTTTTCGATTAGGGAGGATTACTTAGGCTCGGTTGCAATAATGATTATTTTGCGACATTATACTACAATATTACGAACACGGCAGGATGTCAGCTTATGCATACACTGCTTTTCAGACCCCTGTAGAAACCGTACTCGGTAAAAAGTGACTACTTATGTAGCATGGATTTTCCACACTAATTTGCGGTGGTCTCGCAAATTCAAATATATTTTGTGGGAAACACAAACGAAAATATGCTTCATTTCAGTCTTTGGATAGAGAATCACGTCATCTTCATATATTATACTTGAAGAAGGAGTATAATTGAATTTTAAAAAGTTTTCTAATTCCCGAATAATTTGGAGCCTGACCAGTCGTTGCACTAGCATTTAGTGGTTTCAATCTACAAGGTGCATGCGTTCAGCGTAAGGAAAATCACATATCCTTCTACGTCCTTAAAAAGATACTATATAGAGTCCATAAAATTTTGCAATGGATGTGGACCATGTTTTACATTTCATGAGGAGCAGTGGTAAACAGACAGGTATGATGCTGTATGAATGGGTGTTGCGCGGTCGTAAAATATCTCATAATTAGAAACTTTTTTAAAACCTTATTATACTCCTTCGAGCATAAAATATAAAGATGACGTGATTCTCTATCAAACGACTGAAAGAAAGTATATTTTCGTTCGTGGTTTCTATAAAATATATGTGAATTTGCAAAACCATCGAAAATCAGTGCGAAAAATGCATGCTACATAAGTATTTATTTTTTAAAAAGTGCGGTTTCTACAGGAGATTGAAAAGCAGTATATTAAAAATCTGACATCCTGCCGAGTCGGAAATATTATAGGATTATGCCGCAAGATAATCAGTATTACAACCGCGCCTAAGTAAGCCTTCCTAATCTAAAATGCATTTCAGAATTTCAACCAACATTTCATGAGATCGGTCACTCGCTGGCTGGTGTGCCCCTAAACGGGTCACGCGGTAGATGCGCCGGACAAACACAGAGGACAGATAGGAGTCCAGAGGGCGCTTTTAAAATCCACATCCCTAATAAATGCCGAAATTGGGGTGTGATGGCAGGCTCAGTTGCAGGCTCCCGTCGCGCCAAACGTATCCCACTATTTTTTGTTTAAAATCTCGGTCAAGCGTTTGTTGTGGACCAAGGGATGTGGTGGTGCTACGCGGGTTCACGCTGTGCCAACCACCTGCGGCCGCTCCCGTCTCCGGTCTGCTTGACTTGGCCAGGACACCGGGACCAGGTGGGGAAGGAGGACAGTGTGGGGTAGATGTTGCGCAAGTCTACCATCACTGTAAACTAATTCACGCCCGAGTTACTGTGCCTGTCCTCACACCGCTGTAAGGCACACGGTGGACACCGCCGACACCGACGGTCAAACTGTCATGGTTGGAGTACGGACACTGCTTCGCCGGTCTTTGTGCGACGGATTCGCAAGCGACCTATCAGGCCATGGGCGTGATCAAAGGACGCGGTCGCAGTGGTTGGAATCGGGTTCACACTGGTAGTGGTAGGACCAGTGGCAGTAATGTTTTGCATGTTGGTAGGAGTGTCCTTTTTAGCTTTGCTAATAATGGTGTGTTGTGAGATGAGAGGCGGGTTGGTCGTGTTGACATTGCACTGGGTCCGCAGATGCCCAACGAAATCGATTCGTGTCCGGAACATCCGTCAAAAGGGCTGACAAAATTACAGGGGTGAGTGCTACCGTCATTGGTCCGTAGCACTCGAGTCTCGCGACTATTCGGCTGGCTCTGAAAATGGTTGCCCAGTCCTTACGGTTGTGTTCATGTCTGTTGCTCTTGGGCGAAGTCCTTTCAGGTCTCTTGGTTGATTTGCAGATGCTTGAACGGAGTCTTTAGGGTGTCCTTGCAGCGAAGCTTATGCACGCCCTGTCTGCGACCATCCGCAGCTACTTTGAGGAATCATCGCCGCTTGGGCAAGTGTCCGTCGTCCATCCTCACGACGTGGTAACTCCATCGCAGCATACGAAGAACGCCGCTGCTTTCCAGGATCTCAGTATCCCGAACCCTATCCAGTCAATTAACCTTCAGCGATTTTCGTAGGTAGCCGAGATAAAGCGGTCGAGTGTTCTTGCTTGACCCTCATAAACACTCCACATCACTGGTTCCTACCAGTGTTGTCAGGACAATAATCCTACGCATCCCTAGTTTTGCCCGCCTGAGGGGACATTGGGTCCGTGGCCCAGAGGCAGGGCGTTTGAACTAACTCCCCAGGATCAAGAGTAGGAGCTCGAATTCTAGGCGATCGAATTTTAGGATTGATTTTAACTGGCTGACGACGGCACAAAAGTTGGAAGTAGTCATTACAGCCTTTCCTGTACTCCATTAGTTCCGGTCGCTATTTGACCACCTGCGGGGCTCTAAAATGAGCCCCAAGTCACCAGGAAAGGAGAGCGCCTCTTGATGAACTCCATTTCTACTATGGATCAGAGTCTGACAGGACCACGGGTCAGTGGCTCAATGGTAGTGTGCTGGACCTAACTCCCAATAAGCAATGGGCCCGGGTTTGAATCCCAGGTGACCCAATCCTGGAGCAGGGTGTGGCCGACCGACGACGGCTAATAAGCTACAAATATCCATCTCTGCCTCTCTTGTCTTTGTCCGTGCTGCTACTTCTATAGTGGAAGGAAGACTGGGATTTTCATTCGTAGTTTCTGAGCCCTCTTTCGTCAGTCCTGATCAACCTCAGGATTGGATGACCACGGATTAAAGTTCGGAGCTCTAAACTGCGATTGGGCCCGATCTATGGCCTCTGCAGGCAGTCGCGTGGCGACCAGTAATTACTTGGAGGCAGGGACACCTAGTAGGCCAAGAGAGACATGGATGACCATTCCTGGCTTATTAGCTGTCATAATTAAACCATACGCAACTCCAGGATAGGACGGCCTGGGATTCGAACTCCAGTCCTCTAGTCTTTAAGCGTTAGGTATTGATTTCAAAAGCATCGCAAGAGTGGTCATTCCTGCTGTATCACCAACCCGGTTAAACGCCAGAGGCTTTCGATTAGGAATGCAACCAGCGTCCCTTATAACGGAGTCAGTTATAAAAATTCGTTAATCATACAATTATTTTCTGACTGGCAGATCGATGAAGAGCAGCAAGTGACTGGCATCAAGGCTTAGAGACTGCTGTACATGACGTCAGGAAACCTTTCATGAGTACACGTCGACTGCAGCAAACGGCTAGATATTTGACGCTACATCTTGAAAATTATGTTACTGGGCCTGCACAGCAATAGGCCACAACACTACACGTAACCGGCAAGGAGCTTCCTACTGTTAAATGGAACTGTCCCATCTTCACTTCGTTGGTGGTCAGGGTGAAGCGGGCAACTTCCCATCTTCGACTCACGGTTTTTCTAGTGCTCAAGGATTTACCTCCATTTTGCATCATCATCATCATCATCATCATCATCATCATCATCATCATCATCATCATCATCATCATCATCATCATCATCATCATCATCATCATCATCATCATCATCATCATCATTATATCCCTCCTGAATTCGACTCATTGCTCTATTGTGAGCGTCGGTAGCCTATGTTGGCCACACAATTTTCTGCCTTTATTATACATCTTTTACGCTGTTTTCTGCTCAAGTCCTCGCTAGCTGTCCATCTGCAACCTTTTTTTACAAATCCGCATTTTCCGCGGCCAAACTTTTATCCAAAACCAATTGCCTCCCCTCCTCATTCTTCACTGTTTTAGTGATCACATTTTAAATAATCTCTTGCAATTATGATCTTCTCATTTTTGGTTATTATTTGTCGTTTGAATTTTCTTAAACAGTCTGCTCTTATTTGCATTATTTATCCCACACCACCTTTGCCTAATAATCGTTGTTAAGATTCAGGAGACCAGTTGGCGGGCATACGAGTGCTTTCGATAAATTGTCGTCGAACCAGTACAGTTGTATGAGAACGGGGTACAAGTAAAACATGTGGAAGATAACAAACATCCAGTGCAGTTATTCTTTGTCATACAATCAGGGTGTGGTAGTGGGGAAGAAGGGGAGGAGACAGTGGGGTAGAAGGCGGTGAGGGTTAATGGGAAGAAGGCCGGGGAGAGAGGGTGCAGAGGAGTGCATGTACAGTGAGAGACCAATCTCATGAAATGTTGGGTGAAATTTTGAAAAGCGCTTTCGATTAAGAAGGATTACTTAGGCGCGGTCGTAATACTTATTATTTTGCGGAATACTCCTATGATATTTCAGACTCGACAGGATGTCAGATGTTGAATAAACTGCTTTTCAAATCCCCGTAGAAACCGTACTCAGTAAAAAATGACTACTTAAGTAGCACGCCTCTTTCCTATCGATTTTCTATCGTCTTGCAAATTCTAATATATTTTTTAGAAACCACAAACGAAAATATGCCTTCTTTAATTCGTTTGATAGAGAATCACGTCATCTTTGTATTTTATACTCGAAGAAGGAGTGTACTTAGGCTGTAGAAAGTTTCCAGTTATGAGATTTTTTAGGACCGCGTAATGTCCATTCATATAGCATCGTACCTGTCCGTTTACCACTCCTCCTCATGAAATGTACAACATGGTCCATATCCATTGCAAAATATAATGGACTTTTTAAGGGCATAGAAGGATATTTTATTTTCCTTACGCCGAACGCATGCACCTTGTGGACTGAAATCACTAAGCCCTAATGCAACGACTGATCATGCTCCAAATTATTCGCCTCTGCGTCAACCAACGGACTAAAATGGGTTTCATTCGGAGGGGTATCAAACTGTAGAAGTTCCTATACCCTCCAGACGATCATTGTTAAGACGAACTTGCTTTTCAGCATTTACAGTTCAACCTCGTGGTCTTAGTTTTCTCATGCTGTTCGATCCTCCTTGGTGCCACCTGCGCGTCTGAATTTCGTCTCAGATTTACCATTTTTCTCATTTCTCCTCATCCCGCCTTCGCGTTTATTCACTGTATCTTCCCTCCGTGTTCTCCTGCATCCTGGCATCAATTTTTCTTTGTTTCATTTCCCCCCCCTCTCTCTATGCCTACAATTCCTTCCACATACTTCATATTCACCTTTTTTCTTATTTTCGGCTCCTTATTTTGTACAAATGTCTCAATAAAATAATTCATACCAGACAAAAGTGCCATTTTTGAAATTAAGGGTGACCCTCCTCTACAGGAAATTCGATGCAGGTTGCCCTTCAGAAGACAGTAAAATGGAATGACGACGAGAAATTTCACGAAGTCTCAGTCCTCAAAGCTTGTTCATGGCGTTGTTTACGTTGGAGGGGGAGGGGAGGGACATGCTCCATGCGCCCACCGC